CATGTTTACCTACAAATATAAACTTATTTATAAGAAACAGTATAAATGGTTAATAACGTGAGATTTGAATAATTATTACTATAAAATTTCATATAATCATATTACCTTCATTATAAAGTTTAATGTTTTTAAACAATCGGTTTAAATAATTTCCACATTTTTTGCTAAATGTTTTCGAAGTTTTGTAATTATATCTACTGTAATGAATTAAATGTATTGTTTTATACATTATTTTCATCTCATTTAAACAGTAATCAAATATATTTGTATACTCCGTGTCATACAAATTATAACTAACGTCCATTTCATAGATTTTATTACGAAATATACCGATCACGTGAACGATGTCACTTTGATATGAAAAAAGGCTTAACATATCATCCAGGATAATTTGGTTATTAATAAATAATGGTGTAACTGATTTTTCAATTGAAAACATGTTAGTATAATTTAGATTTTTACCACAATGATATACAATGCCATTATTTGTAATGAAAAAGGTGAGACTTCTGGACGCACACATCGTTTGAATGTTAAACAAATTATCAATTATTTGCGGCTTAAATACATCAACATTTTAATTGTGTCCCAAATTATAATCATTTCGACCCCAACTAAACACTCGGCCATCGGTTGTGACGGCAAACGATGAAAATGAACAACAATTAATGCTTCGTATCTTATATTCAATCCCATTGTGAATACATTGAATTTTTATAGGAGTTTGTGTTGTTCGCACAGCATAATTATCACAACCCAACTGTCCAAACATATTACCGCCCCATCCGTAGACACAGCCATCGCTGGTCAGTATAAGTGAGTGATAATTACCGCAACAAATTTCACTAATCACTTGATTTTTAGATAAGTGTATGTTTTGAGGTTTTAAATATTTTTCTAACACTGTTGTCGGCAATTGATATTCTTCATTATTACCCTAACGAGATATACTATTTGTGCCATTAATAGATAAAACAAAACTATTGCCACAAACAAATTGCCGTATATTTTGTAGACATAATTCTGGTATAACTTGCGGTGTATTGACAGCCCTATTGTGTCCCAAACCGAGTGATCCGTAATAATTAGATCCCATGCCGTAAACCATATCATCGTTTGTCACAAACAATACATTATAGCCATTGATGTCATCGAAAACATGAAAGAGACTAATATTATTAATATCTATATAATTATCAGTTAACACAAAGCTTTTATCTAATTGTAAGTTTGTGGCAAATTTAGCGCATGTATATTTGTTGACAAAATTGCCTTCATTTTGTCTAACATTAAATAGTGTACTCTTAAAGTATGGGTCATTTGTGACACGCATTGCATCGATAGACCAGTGGTTATACTCTTGTAATACTTGTCGACAATCGGGTCTATTATCTGGTATTCGAGTCGACATTAAATGCAATGTTTTCTCTAAATTCACAATTTCTTTATAAAAATCGTGGTTTCTATAGATGAGAGTCAAATCATTTGTGCTAAAAATGAAAAAGTTAAAAATTTTTACAAATAACTATAAATAATTACATAATGTATTTAATTCAAACATTACTCGAAAGCATTTAAACAAAACATTTCGGATACAATGACTGCAAGACTATAGATATCCACTTTTGTAGTATAGTCTTTGTTTAGCCGCACTTCAGTTGCCATATAAATACTTGTGCCCACACAACCCGTATGTCTGATAACACCCGACCCCTCGTGCAATACCGCTAAACCAAAATCACATAGTTTTAAATACCGGCCGTTTTGGGGATTAAGTGATACCAAAACGTTATCGGGTTTGAGGTCCCGATGAATGACTGCTGGACTCAAATCATGCAAATATTGTATGCATTCCAACAGCTCTTTAAATAATTGACACGAAATATAATATTCAAACAAATTCATGGCCTCTTCGGTCGATCGGCGGCCAAACGCCGGGCCTTTCAGGTCTAGTATTGATCGTAAACTCTGTCCACACAATTCAGTCATAATAAAAACTTTATGACAAATATTGTTGGTTTTGATCCAACATCTTATATATCGGACCACATATTCTGAGTTAACTTTAATTAAATTATTAATTTCTTTTTCACACATTTTAATTTCGGTGTTCACTATAATTAAACACAATTTTATTAGTATATATAAATCATTGCATATTTACATAATTAGGCCATAATAATAAAACAATAACATAATACGGTTGGCTTCTACTTTTGTAACACGAAAAATTATATTATGATCAAAAATTTTAAAGTATAAATATGGTGTGCTTTCCTTATGTATAATTAAACACGTATCACGAATATCGAAATAAATTTTTAACCACAATTCAGTATGAATAATGTGGTTTATAGGATCGTTATATCTCGATTATTTATTGAAATATTTGACTTTCGAATTTAACCAAAAAGTTTTTAATTTAACTTAACCAAATTAAACTTAACATAATCTATATTATATTGTAGGAATCGGGCCGAAAGGCCCGATCACTAAAGATCGGAATCTTATGGACACTAATTCAGTATAACCTGGCTTTTAGTTAAACACAAATATATTTATTGAATATAAGACTTTTACAATAATTGGCAACAGACAAGTGATAGACAATTGAATAGACTTAATCAATGGCTTATATAACCATCGAAAAGGAAATACATTCCATAAACATTATATAAACTAAAACATGATTTCACATAACATTTGCAATATTGAAAGGAAATCTTAACTCAAAACAATTCACAATAAATTTAGAAAACTTTGAATTAAAACATAAATTTGTTTACACTTAAATTTCCGCTCTCTACAATATTATGTTATGCTTGGTTAGGCAAAGATTATGTTAATGTTTAGGTTAGGTTAGGTGAAAAATTTTAAGAATAAAACATAAATTATTTTCTTGTGTTACAAAAGTAGAAGCCAACCCATGATATTTATATAATTACCTACCTTCATAATTTAGTATTTTTACAGCAAACTCAATTGCAGGCACTTTGTACGACATTTTATATACAGTGCCAAATGTACCCGAGCCCAACTTATCAAATTTAGCTAAAAAAGCCAAATTTGTCAGTGATTTAAAATTTTTATCTAAATGAAAGAGAATATAAAATCAATTAATTGATTAATAATATTAATATTTTCAATATTCAATTATCATACCAGCAATTGATTGTTTAATATTGAGACACACTTTACATAACAATAGTTCACAATTTGCTTTAAACTCTTCAATAGTATTATAATTATAATCATTAAAATCGTTGAAATGTATTGTTTTGTGTGTAGTTCGCAATAGAGTTGTATAATAATCAAATGGATTTGTATAATTTGTTACAACAAAATCGTTGAACCCACCAATTGTGGTCATTTTATTGTCAATCATAACCACGGGCAATCCATCATGATAATGCACTGAACTGGCCAATTGTTGATTATCATTCATTAATGCGGGTGTTTTCACAATTGAATAGCCGTTTTTGAAACACTGGCCGCAAGAATATATGAAACCATCGTTTGTGAGGAAATAACTCTGATTTCCTGCCGAACACACGGTTTGAATGTTAACTAAATTCACAATTAATTGCGGTTTTAATACATTTGGTGTTATATTGTGTCCCAAATTGTATAAATGATTTGCACCCCAACTAAACACCAGTCCATCAGTTGTTATGGCAAACGAACAGTTATGGCAACAATAAATGCTTTTTATCTCATAATTATTTCCAATCGTATCAATAAAATGCAACTTTTGTGGAACAAGAATGTACTCAGAGGTACTATCATAGCCTACTTCACCATATTTATTATGACCCCAACCGTATACCTGGCCATCGGTGGTCAGCGCTAGTGAGTGATAGAAACCAACACATATTTCATAAATCTCTTTATCGTTGAAAAATTTAATTATTATTACGGAGTTCTCAGTAGTTGACCCGGTCAATTGTCCATATTCATTACAGCCCCACCCATACACACATTTATTAGCATTAATACCCAGAACAAAATTAAAACCAAAAATAAATTGTTGCATATTTTTATAACATAATTCCGGTATAATATGCGGTGTATTGACAGCCCTATTGTGTCCCAAACCGAGTGATCCGTAATAATTAGATCCCATGCCGTAAACCATATCATCGTTTGTCACAAACAATATATTATAACCATGTTCATCTTCGAAGACATGAAATGTTTTAATTTTATCGATAATTATTTTATCATTTTTTGCAATTTCAGCTAATTTTAAACTCATTTTCTTGATAAATTTAATTAATTATATTATTTACAAAATGTATATATAGTGTCATAAATGTAAAACACTTATCAGTAGCAAAAAACAATTGAACTTATTGACATTTACAAATTAATAAATCGATTATCGGTTACTATTAGATATATCATACAAGAAATATTTTCACAATTACTATTATTAAAATGATGATTATATTGTAATTAACACTTATTATTTGACCAAAATTATTATAACGTATTTAATTATTAAATTTGAATTCATTTCATGAATTCAATTATAAGCACTCAAAACAAACCATAAATAAATTAATTAAATATTAATAAAAATCTTAATACTTTGAATAATCAAAAATTAAGTAAACATAACGTAAGAACAGGCGTGAAGTCACACAATATCTAATGTGGAAACTAATAGCGACTCGTGTCTGATATATACGAGTCATTGTGTGTGATTTGCATTGAGTGCTGACTTCTATTTAAATAAATATCATAATTAATATTTTGCATTCTATTCAATAACAATATATAAACTCTTCATGGTAAGCATTCTTCACATTCTACATGGTAGACAATTCAATCAATCAACTAGCATACTGCATAATTAATTAATCATTTGATATATGTTGCACAATGTCGGTTATATCCCATTTTACAGATTTTGCATGTCACTACAATTGTTTAAAAGTAACAAACTTACAAACTTGTATATCCGGATATAAGTGCACACATTATGTAAAAACCACATATTAGTGCATCTATATTACAAGTAATATACAGTATATAAAAATTCAATTTTTGTATTTTATGTAATAGTCGACAGACAAAGCATACTATATTTTATTCAGTTATTTAGTTTTGATACAATATATTCATTGAAAAATTTATCAGTTTCTGAATTCAAGTTATTTACAATAGTATTATAACCGAAATCATTTGCAACATGAGAGCCATCAATAGACCAGTGGTTATACTCTTGTAATACTTGTCGACAATCGGGTCTATCGAACGGTTCCAACGATTGCATAGAAATCAACACTTTTTGTAATTCAGTTACACTTTTGGATAGAATTTTGTCCATAGAATACAAACGTAAACTATTATAGAAATATTTTATTAATAATTAATACGAATGAGATTTTTAGATATTTTTTATTTAGTATATAAAATATACTCACAATTTACGAGTCAATTGTAAATCAAATATATTTTGTGCAATTTTGGCCGCACTGTAAACATCTGTCTTGTAATCAACAGTTTGTCCATTAGTTTCTTCGGGCGATAAATATTTGGCATTTCTTTTATAAGTCAATCGATTGAAGGCTTCACTCAAACCAAAATCACAGAGTTTTAGCCGCCATTTGCCGGCATTGCATGCAATCAACACATTCTCGGGTTTGAGGTCCCGATGAATGACTGCTGGACTCAAATCATGCAAACATTGTATGCATTCCAACAGCTCTTTGAATATCTGACACGAAATGTAATATTCAGACAAATTCATGGCCTCTTCGGCCAATCGGCGGCCAAACGCCGGACCTTTCTGTGAGAGAACTGTTAGTAAACTCACTGAACACAACTCCATACGTATGTAATGCCGATTCCCATCAAACCAGGTATCGATATATTGAACCACATTTTTGGTAAAAACATTTAACAAGTTGTTTAAAACTTTAGGCACATTATTATCATAGTTATGGTCTGTTAATGAAAATCATTTTTACATTTTAAGCTAGTTTAAAAACCGAATTCTATTAAAACTATGCCTATATATTTACCAGGATTATCAACAATTTTTACAGCGTATTCCTGTCCATCAGTTATATGTCTGACTTTATAAACAGTGCCAAAACATCCCGAACCCAATACAGACAACTCATGGTAACGCCGTTTATAGTCATTTAATTCGGTGGTATTTTGATCTGGAAATGTAATTTTTGATTACTATTACAGTGATACTTTATATTATGTGTCTGCTTATAAAATTCTTGTTATAATTTTACCATAATTTAAGTCTTTTAGCATAAAAAACATTTTGTTCAAAAAATGTTTACATTTTTCTTTAAACGACTCAAATGTTTCGTAATAATAGTCTTTATAATCGCATAAATCTATAGTTTTATAAGTCATTTGCATTTCACTTGAATAGCAATCAAATAGATTTGTATAATTAGTTTCACACAAATTTCTTGTCAAATTAATTATAAATAATCTTTCATTTGAAATACCAATCACTTTAAAATAGTCCATTTGAATTGAATATAGGGCTCGTAAATCATCAAGTTTATTATAATTACTAAATACCCTGGTCACAGTTCTGTATACTGAACGCACATTATTATTGTCAATATATTTGCCGCAAAAATAAACAAATCCAGTGTTTGTAAGGAAATATGTTTGACTGCCCGCCGGACACACCGTTTGAATGTTAAATAAGTTATCAATTATTTGTGGTTTAAATACATTATCACTTGTATTGTGTCCTAAATTACACTGATTTCTACCCCAACTAAACACTCGACCACAGGTTGTGACGGCAAACGATGAATACCTGTGACAGTGAATGCCATTAATTTTATAATCAATATCGTTGTGTATAAATTGTATTTTCATCGGGGTATCTATTCTGACTAAATCATGTTCATTGCAACCCAACTGCTCATACATATTAGCGCCCCATCCATAGACACAGCCATCACTGGTCAGCACAAGTGAGTGATAATAACCGCAACTTATATCATGAATGTCATAATTATTGGGCAAAGGTATGAGTTTAGGTTTTAAATAAGTCTCAGCGGATGATTGGGCTAATTGTGACCAATCATTACAACCCCAACCGTATATGCAATTATTGTCATTTATAGACAATACATAATTATAGCCATTAATAAATTGTTGTACATTTTGTAGACACAATTCTGGTATAACTTGTGGTGTATTGACAGCCCTATTGTGTCCCAAACCGAGTGATCCGTAATAATTAGATCCCATGCCGTAAACCATATCATCGTTTGTCACAAACAATACATTATAACCATTGATGTCATCAAAAACGTGGAATAATTTAATAACATTAATATCGATACGATTGCACATAAATTCTGGATTAATTTGAATATTATTTACGATTTTTGTGCACAAAAACTCTGAGAAAAATTTATAATCATTTTGTCTAATATTATTTAAAACAGTTTTATAGTTGGGATCATTAGTGACATGCATTGCATCGATAGACCAGTGGTTATACTCTTGTAATATATGTTGACAATCGGGTCTATTATCTGGTATTCGAGTAGACATTAAATGCAATGCTTTCTCTAAATTCACAATTTTTTCATAAAACTCAAACTTTTTATAGATTTCCGTATCATTTGTGCTAAAGATTAATAACAATTGCAAAATATAAATAATTTAAAATAATAGAAAAATAAATAAAATCAAACATTACTCGAAAGCATTCAAACAAAACATTTCGGATGCAATGACTGCCAGACTATAGACATCCACTTTTGTGGTGTAATCCTTGTTTAGTCGCACTTCAGTTGCCATATAAATACTTGTGCCCACACAACATGTATGTCTAGTAACACCGGACCCCTCGTGTAATACCGCTAAACCAAAGTCACATAGTTTTAAATACCGGCCGTTTTGGGGATTAAGTGATACCAATATGTTATCGGGTTTGAGGTCCCGATGAATGACTGCTGGACTCAAATCATGCAAATATTGTATGCATTCCAACAGCTCTTTAAACATTTCGCAAGAAATAAAAAACTCCAACAAATTCATGGCCTCGTCGGCCGACAGGCGGCCAAACGCCGGACCTTTCAGTTCTAATAATGTTCGCAGACTTTGTCCGCATAACTCGGTCTCAATATAAGCCTTAATATGATTTTCATTAATTTCTGTCCAAAATATAATATATTGGACGACATATTGTGAGCGAACTTTTACTAAATTATTTAATTCCTTGTCCACTACTTTCATGTCGGTATTTACTAAAAGTAAAAAAGTTTATTAGACCTAATCACCTTGAACAAAGTCATGAATCTTACAATCATATTCAATCACTTTAACAGCGTTTGCAATCGGATTGTATTTGTATCTTGTTTTAAATACGGTTCCAAATGATCCGGAGCCCATTTTAACAAACTCAACAAGACCATTTGTGAAATCATTAAAATCTTCATTAGTTTCATATTTGTTATCTAAGATAATATTTATGTTTAATAAAGTCATGTTTAATAGAGTTATGTTAAATAAAGTTATGTATATTAAATAAATAAATGTTAACTATACCATTAATTGCTAGTTTAATATCTGCACACAATTTGCGCAAAAATTGCACACATTTTAGCCGGAATTCTTCAATACTATTATAATTATAATGTTTATAATCACAGAAATGAATCGTCTTATAAGTTACTTGTAATTCAATCAAACAGTAATCAAACATATTTGTATAGTTTGTGTCCTCACAACTGTTGGGACAGTTGATTATTACCAGCATATTATTAATAACAGCTGCTGACCTGTTATAAACATCATGGTTACAATCGATGGTGTAAAACTCTGTGGCTAATCTATCATGGTCATTTATCAATACCATTGTTTTCTCAATAATATAATTGTTATCTTTATTAATATAATTACCGCAAAAATAAATCAAACCATCGTTTGTGAGAAAAAATGTAAAATTTCCGTTTGAAGCCACGGTTTGAATGTTAATTAAGTCCACAATTAATTGCGGTTTCAATACATTATCAGTTATATTGTGTCCCAAATTGTAGTAATGATTTAAACCCCAACTAAACACCAGTCCATCTGATGTCACCGCAAATGACGAGTAGGCGCAGCAATAAATGCCACTTATTTTATAATTATCATTAGTATTATTATTAAAATGTATTATTGTTGGCACATTTATTTCAATCGAGATACTATCGCATCCCACCTGACCAAATCGACTATAACCCCAACCATATACCTGGCCATCGGTGGTGAGCACAAGTGAGTGATAAAAACCACAGCTTATTTCGCGGATATATTTAGCTTTAAAATACTTGATAATTACGGGTTTATAAAAATTATTGCTTCCTATTTTAGCTAATTGTCCATAGTGATTACAGCCCCACCCAAATACACATTTATTGGTAGTAACACCTAGGACATGACTGAAGCCACAAATAAATTGTTCAATGTTTTTATGACATAATTCGTGTATAACTTGCGGTGTATTGACAGCCCTATTGTGTCCCAAACCGAGTGATCCGTAATAATTAGATCCCATGCCGTAAACCATATCATCGTTTGTCACAAACAATACATTATAACCGACTCTATCGTCAAAAACGTGAAACAATTTAATTTGATTGATAATTGTTTCATCACTTGTTTCACGCTTTGCTAAATATGATCCCATTTTTTGTTGATTAAACAATTTTAAAAATAATTAACATAAATTAACACCAATGTAATATTTATAAATACTACTAATTAAATATAAAAGCTAAATATCAATCCATTACTATCTATTAGTTATTATCGGTTACTATTAGTTATGTAATTAATAAATACGTTTACATTTACTGTTGTTTAAAATTGTTATATTTTTATTACCATTTAATTTTATATACCAATTACTGAAATTAACAAATTCTAAGTAGACTAAATGTAATTTACTAGGATTTAATAATTCAAAATAATAGCATGTATTAAACATTTCAATTAGTAAAAATGACTTATTTCATCCATACGATATTATAAATTAAATTCACCGCGTTAATAACAAAAAATCAAACATTGTAAACACAACTATAATACAATACAATGTACAGTACAATAACGTAATCGCACTACACATGCGTCTATACATTTACATAGAGGTATTGTTTTTGATCTCAATGCTAAACATTCATAGAGAATATTCAGGCGCACAGAATCGCAACAGAATATATAATTAAATTTATAAAATAACTAACAATTAATCTTGTTTATAAAAAATTTTATTATTTTTTGTATTAACTAAAATATAAAAAAAAACACAACACAATAATAATAATATTAAATTCTATTATCAGACAATAACTAAATAATAATAACTAATATACTGTAATATTATTATTAGTGATAATAAGTAATAATCAAAAACAACGAAACTGTTTATCGGCGCGAATAAGGATTGTCTCATTTCTTGATAAAAATGTGTTATTTATAAACTATTCATTCCTTAACTCATAAATAACTTTTCCTCTGATATTAATCTAAAGACTTAACTTATTTCGCGAATTATATGTTTCATTGCCTTTACAAACAAAATAAACAAAAATAATCAAAATATTTCTTTAATACTAATGTTCATGAATTAAACACTTCATTAAAGTTATAATAAAAATTTCATAATAATTGAAAAGAAACAAAATAATTAAAAACAATAAAATGTTTTGTCATCAAAACAAATGGGCTCATCTCATCTCATCTCAAACTCATCTCTTTAGGGCTTAACTAAATCTCTTTCTCTGATCTAAACCTTTATTTTTAATTGTTTTTTGTCTCAATATTTTTGCCAACTCTTTGTTTCATTGCTTTTAATACAAAAAATAAATCAAAAAATTAATCAGAATTATTACCGAATAATAAGTTTTTACAATATGTTCATTAAAGTTATAATAAACATTAAGTTATTTTATAAACATTGATAAAAAATAGTAATTATTAATTAACTCAAAAATTAATAATTTTAACAAAATTAAAATCAAAAACATTGAAAATGTTGTTTCAGTGCAAATAAGAATATTTTTAAGTTAAAACTTAAATCTTGTATAAAAGTATTGTCTTAAGATTACAAACTATTTACTTATTAAGTTACCTAACATTCCCTCTAATATTTTAGTTTCATTTGAAACGACTATTCGTTTAATATTTTTGCCCACTTTTTGTTTCATTGTATTTGATCTTAAAATAAACAAAATTAAAATAAAATATTTCTTGAATAGAAAACAATATCTCTAAAATAATCTTATCGTTTTTATAATATTTAATAAAAGTATTAATATTTCAAAACGCGTTGCTTTTGGAGGGGATTTTATGGATTAACTATAAGATGTCCTCTCCATATGGTTTCCAATGCTTTTTATGCTTATTTATTATTTAATTTAATTTTAGTTTTATTTTATCAAATATTTGGTTCAAAAATTGATCTCATTTTTCTTTACACCCGTCAAACATAAAAAAGTTTATTCAGTGACCAACTTAAAACTATTTTTACTAATTTTGATTTAACAGTTTTAAAATTTATGTTTTAATTTTTGATAATTGAAATATATTACCATAAAGAAAACTAGTAATCAAATATTAATCTAACGATTAAATGTGACCCATGGTTGCATTTAAATTTTTATTAAGAAGTTGGTCAATGAATAAATTTGTAGGCTAATGTATGGTAGAGTTTGTGAGAGCGTGTATTGGGGAGAGTGTGACGGTTAAGAAGATTGCGTAAAAGGGTTAATGGATAACATGGGATAATCAATAGGTGAACGTGTTTTAAAAGTTTATTGAGTTTGTATCAATTTTTCTAGTTTTGACAAAATATATAACTTTGAAAATTGATTACTTTCTATAAAAACATCTAATTTTTTAACATTTAATTTAATTAAATAGTGGGGATCATTAGTGACACGCATTGCATGAATAGACCAGTGGTTATATTCTTGTAATACTTGTCGACAATCGGGTCTATCGAACGGTTCCAACGATTGCATAGAAATCAACACTTTTTGTAATTCAGTCACACTTTTGGATAGAATTTTGTCCGACGAATACAATTCAGAGCTAATTATTTAATAATAAAATTATATTATTATTTATTACATTTTAAAATATACTCACAATTTATGAGTTAATTGTAAATCAAAGATATTTTCCCCAATTTTGGCCGCACTGTAAACATCTGTCTTGTAATCAACAGTTTTTCCATTAGTTTCTTCGGGCGATAAATATTTGGCATCTCTTTTATAACACAGACATTGAAAGACTTCACTCAAACCAAAGTCACAGAGTTTTAGACACCATTTGCCGGCATTGCATGCAATCAACACATTCTCGGGTTTGAGGTCCCGATGAATGACTGCTGGACTCAAATCATGCAAACATTGTATGCA